GTGTGTGTGTGTGTGTGTGTGTGTGTGTGTGTGTACCTAAATGATTCAACTGACGAACTGCATTTTGTCCTTTTGCAGAGAATCAAATTGTGTTGAAGGAAATCAGATGAATTGTTCTGCATCTAAATCGTATTGCATCGCATTAGTAATAATCTCTGACCAGTCTGATTATTGATCAAGATGCGCATCACTGTGGCAAATGTTTGAAATCAGAGCAGGTCTGATTCATGTACACAACAACGCCCCCTTGAGGCCCAAATTAAGTGATTCTCATGCTAAGAAATTGAAACACTCCTGGACACTGGATATTACCCACGATCCCTGGCTACCTGAACTACACCAAACAATGTTTAGGATTCTTCATATTTTACTTATTTACGAGTCTTGTAGATAAACGCTGGTTTGGAGAAAAGTTTTTTAACTGCTCTACAGCTCTACATTTCTCTTGAACTCGTACCCGCTCACTAGAGTTGCCAGAGCAGATGTTCAGGGTGACGAGTGGAAATGAAAGAGGAAACATTTACTCTGTTCCAAGTCGGTGAACCGTCAAACTGATGTTGAAGCTGCTGTTTCAAGTGTTGCTTCAAGATGGAGGAGTCCTCTTTACCCACTGGGGCCAAACCTTCAATAGAACCCAAATTGTGACAAGTTGTTTTTTAATAAAAACTGATTTTCATTCTCACGTTAACCTCAGTGTCACGTTCATTGTGAGTGAGGCAGTCTCGCTCCACCGTCGTCACAGACAACCACCTCGTGACTTCTGATGGAGACGGAGGAATCAGCTTCATCACCGTTCGCCCCAAACGGCAGAGATTTGTTTCCACGTAGCATCACGCCTGAGAAGAGCTTATGAGAGGGAGAATCAGAGATAACTGATTTTTGGTGTCAGACGCCTCCTCGAAAAACGTATGCAATTAAATTTCTAATTTCACTGGGGCCGGGTCAGAATTGTCTGACTTCATTATCAAGATCAAAATTTGTTATTCAAATTGGGCTGCATCCATAATTAATTCACTGTATTCACTCAGAGGCGTGTCCACTGAAGTGAATTCTAATCGTGATGCTTCGGTTTGAATGAAGAGTTGTTGATGACCAATCTTTGAACTGAACAAAGTCTGCTGCGATTTCCACCATCCTGACTTCAGAGGGACATTGATGACGAGCACGACTAGACTGTCCCATTTCAAAACCTCCTTCAGCTGCGTCCTTACATCCCCATGAAACTGAGGCTCCGTCAGGTGGATACCTGCTGGGTTGCGACCTCTGAAGGATGCAGCCCCCAAACAAAAAGATTTTAAAGACGTGTTTTGTGTGGGTTCACCGCACCTGGAATCCAAACTAAAATCAAAGCACGTTTTCAGTTTGCGACTGTTGCTGGTGGCTCCAGCCTGGAATAAATACTATGATTAAAAGCATGAATGTATATTTTACTATTCTTTTCAACACGACAACAAATGTCATATGGTTTAGGTGGGTACAGACAGACAATGTGTGAGGACACACGCTGGTTCAAGCTGCACAGAAAACCTGTTCCTGCAGCACTGATCACAGAGAGAACAGCGTAAAAGCATTATTCAAAACGCAGATAATATTGAAATGATAATGGCCTGGAAATCGTCTCTGCTGATTTAATATGCTCGAGCCTCTTCCAGCCTCCAACACCTGAACAAAGAGAGAGAGGGCGAAGAGCCGCATAATCTTCCCTGCACCACCTGGGCCCATGCAAAAGCCACCGAGCGTGTTTACACTTCCAGATCCGTACAGTGGCAGCGATCCCTTCATGCCTCCTGCACTCGGGGGAACACACACACAAGGAGAAAAACACATTATTGATGTTTCTGGGTGTGTTGCAGTGTTTTCGCGAGTGGTGAATGATGCAGGAAAAAAAAAAACCCATGCCAAAAAGAGCATTTTACCAAAGGGGAGGTTTTGGTTAGGATGAGTTTGAGAGGACGGAGCGTGAATCAAGTGGGTGTCATTTATGGAGGGAAACAAAAATAGCTGTAAATGCGTCTGCTGCACCTGCTGAGTGAACGGCCGCATCTCAGGCTCACGACATACAGGTGAGCGAGGCTTTGATGGGAATCAGTACGGCTTTCATGTGCAGCCAGAGGGGAAGAGAGCCCAGGGAGTGGAGCTCATCTATCTCTGCCATACGAACAGTCGCCTCAGGCACCAACTCACACTCACAGGCTTTGTTCCACCCTCCTGTGTTAAACTCCACTGACTCGCATTCATCCTCGAACTCCTGATCTAAATTCTCCCCGCTGCATGACGAAGCACTGTCGTCACCCTCGTCTTAAAATAAGCACAAATTTCTGAGCTCTGAAAACAAGCTGCCACAACACAACTGCTCTGTAACGCCAGACAGAAAAAGATGCATTCACTTCAATTGAATCATTCCAGCAGCAGCAGCAGCAGCAGCCTGGTCGGCTCCTCAGAGAAACTGAAAAAATAAATTGAAATGTTAATTTGCTCTGATTACAGCCAAAGCCGAGTCAACGAGCCAACTCTTGTTACGAGTCAAGCGAGAACATCTTCTCTACGAAATGGTCAACGTGCAGATGGGCGACAGACCTATAGCAACGCTGCGAGGAGGAAAAAAAAAAAAAAAAAGGTTCCCTAGCAACAAGGTTTTCCAATGGGAAGCAAGATGAGCACGTTTAAATCTGGGGGGAAATTATCTTCATTTTCCCGCCCTTTGCAGGGAGGGCAGTGGTTAACAATGAGAGTGCGGTGAAGAGCAGACAGATGCTGTTGCCAGAGGACCCTCCAGTGGAGCATGTGGCTGCTGCGATGCAGGTCGATGAGTTATTGTGTGAGACGTCCTCTGCAAACACACATTTCCTCACACAAGGACAATGGGAAAGGTCTAATCACATTTTTCCATCAGGAGCTGCAGAGAAATGTTTCCCTCCATGGAAACGATTTCATCAATGTTCATTTGTTCTCAACTGGTTTCTGTGAAGGTCTGCGGAGGGTCGCGACATGACACAAGGAACAGTGAGGTGGATTTCTAATAAAATGGTGAAATAGGGCGTTGGCCGTTGTGGAGGTGTGAACTCTGAGCTCACTTGTTTGTGTGGTGGATGATAGCTATTTAATAGTGATATTAAATGTGAGCTAAAAATAAAGAATGGTTTGATAGAGGGTTCCAGCAGATTTATCTGAAATATTTTTAATGCTTTTATTAGATTATTTATTTATCCTCACAATTCTGTTGTTTTTTATTTGATAAAATTGGTGCATTAACATAAGTTGTTTTATATAAATCTATCTATATTATATAGAAAAAATAAATATGTATATTAAAATATATATTCAAAATATATAATAAATATTGAAATAGTAGAAAATTGCATAATAAACATAACTTTCCTTGAGGTCAAATCCGTCTTGGCTCCAAACTTCTGACTTTGCAAAAACGAATTTCAGATTCACCCAGTGACGATTGCGTTGGGCCGAACTACAGTCCACTGACCAGCACTTTGGAGCTGAATTAAAAGTGCAGATGAGAATGTTGCAGAAAAGACAAACACAAGATGAACCACTGATGAAACAGTTGCACAGCTAAGGACAAAAACTGTCCAAGAACAGAAACACAAACTCTGAAATTACGAGTTTCAAAAGAATGAAGATTATTAGTTACGACCAAAGTTGCGATCAGCAGATGTGAGCCACAGGCTGAACGTCACTCTCCACCTACACCGCCATCAAATCTGCACATGCAGTGATATCTCCTGGGAGGATTGACTCTATCTTTATGATTTGTTACAGACACTTCTTTCTTTCATTTGTCGACCATCTGCAGCTTGAGTGTTTTTATTGCTTTGTATTTTGTTGAGACTGAACGATCATGTCCTCATCTCTCCACCCGCCCGTGTGGCCTTCAAAGCAAAAGTCCTCACAGATGGACAAAATCTTACATAAGTAAAGAACTGAGATCCAGACTCCAGATCTATTTGATCTGAAAACATTTGGCTGCCTCCGACTGATCATCAGCAACGAAGTTAATAACTTAACTGAACCCAGAAGCAGAATCCACGCAGCCTTGTGTTAATCTATAAATAAGACCTCTGATTTGTGAAGTGCTGTTTCCTGGTTTAAATACATTACGACGGGACAATGAGCTTTGATAATGTTTACTCCTTCTTCAGTACAAATTAAGGAACTGGTGGACAAAACACAAACAAGGTCGACACTGGCAGGTATAATTTGTAGCCATTATAACGTCCCTGTTGATTCCAATTAGCTCAGATTTTAAAAAAGATAAATAGAAAAACAAAACCAAAAAAAAAATAAACTAAGCATCATGAATTCCATTTTAATAAGAACACCAGCAGTCAAAGCTACAAAGAAGTCTACAAGGTAAATGAATGATGCTGAGGCAGTCGATGAAAGGTTTCTGATGGACACGCTGATCTAGCAAATGTGTGGCGGGTGAGAAAGCCTTGAAACGTCCGTTTCTTCCGTCATTGTGATGATGAGGCTGGTTGACGTGGATGTACACAGTGACTGTGGAGCAGTCCAGAGAGGCCCCCCCGGGCGTGGGCTACGGGGTGGCCCGGTTGGGTCTCTTTGGAGGGGGAGGGGGCATTAGCTCGGCGTCTGGGTCTGGCGGGTGTTTCCGGTTCTGGGCTTGGAACCCCTGAGCGCAGCGGTCCACATACCCCAGCAGGACTTCCTTAGTGACGGGCTCCCGGATGCTTTTACACACAGCTGGAGGGAGACAGAACACACACACAGGAAATTACTACATAATAAAAGAAAGCAGTCGTCTTATCACAAGCAACGACTTCAAACTGTTTGGAAAACCCCTTCACTAAACACTTTTCAAACAACCCTCCACCGAATTTCATGGAAATAGGATGAGTAGTTTTTGGCGCAGTCCTGCAAACTAACAAAAAAAAAAACCTGACTCACCCATGGCTGTCTCGTAGGAGTTGGGGAAGCTCTTGTCCACCCGCTGCCTCATGAACACCCAGGTGTTGTTGGCGAAGGTGCACTCGATGATCTTGTTGTCGTACTGTCTCAGCTCTTTAGTGGCCTGTGCAGACACAGATAAAAAGGAGATAACGGTTTGTACTTTTACAAAAGACACAGAAAGACTCATGTACGATTATAAACCGAGACGGATTTTGTCTCAGTGGGACGCAACAATGATGATGATGATGATGATGATCCGGAGGCGTTACTGCCAACAGCTGCATAACAATTGAACCTGCAGTTTCAAAAAACGATATAAAAATTCTGAAACTTATTATCTTTACTCTGCAGCAGTTAAGAGGCACATCGAGACTTCTGGGAGCTTTGGAAATCAAAATACAATAAATGGAATTTACAAATCGGAAAGAAAGCTACAGGGAATATGAAGTTAAAAATCATGTTGGATCGGATAAACAATAAATGTGAAGCCCAGTAAGATGGATTCTATTGATTCTGGGAACAGCAGCAAACAAAATGTGTTAGTTTGACATTTCTGCCTTTTTAAATGGTTTGAGGGAGAAAAATAAATTAACCAAAATAAACCAAATAATTCTCAAAGGGGAAGCGTCATTACTTTTTCTCATGTGCACACTTTAAATGATTCCCATTAATTAGTGTCAACTGTTTTTCACCACTTATTCAGTCATGTGTTTTCCCCTGGAATTTGTAGCAGAGATGGACAAAACCACAGATCGAGCTGATGTGACGCAATTAAAAAGGAAAACAAAATGAACATCCTCGAATAAAATTGTGGGTTTAGTTGTCGGAAACATTTCGGGTTTTATTTTTAGACTTTTAAATGAAGAATTGTTACATTTTGAGGCTAAAGCAGTTGTATTCGCTTGTCTTTATCTATGTGATTATAAACCTCATCGATGCAGAACAGCAGCTCAAGCTCGTCCTAATTATTACATCATATTCTGCCTTGAAAACAAAATCAACTCTACACGCTGAGCCCAATGTGTCACTGTTGAACTGGCACACGATACTGAAGACTGAAAATGAGTCAAGGAAGACATTTGAGCATCTGTTGTTTGTTTGTCGAAGGAGTCACTGAGAATTCTCGGGACTTGGAAAATACACATCCCAGAGCGACCGGGAAGCAAAACGTGCAGCTGAAATATTGTAAGCGTGGATTTTTAAAGAGACTCCAACTTGAACACGAGTCACTGCGATGTGCTCGTCTGTGATTTTTCATAAAAGGATTGGGTGAAGACCCTGTGGACAAAGACGGCTGACCTCCGGGGTTCAGTGCGAACACATGACCAGCCGCGAAGGTCAGAGCGTGAGCGCCGGTGCCAGGAAGGCGTCGGTGTTTGGCAAGTCACAAAAAACCACGAAGGGAGAGCTTGTCTGATCCTGTGTGTGGGACATCTGGGCTCCCAGTGGGGGTCGGAATCACACAGGAAGCAAGAAAAGTGTGAGGAAGGCCGACACAAGGAGTGGGAGAGAATACATGCCAACAGAAAGACGTGATAGATACTGGATTTCATATGTGACGAGGAGTCACCATTTAAAATATTTATATTTTTCTCCCTCTGATCTCAGTTTGAAGACATTCAGTGCATTAATAACACTGACTGGAAATTACATTTTTCTATTTGGAGAAGAGACGGCGGCCGGTGTGAAAGCAGCGACAGAATCTCGAAGCTTTCCTAAAGCCCGAAGTGACACGCTGCCAGGAAACTGCAAGGGGCCGCACAGGCAGGCGGAGACCGCGCTGCCACAGGCTGGGATCTCTTCCTGCTGGTGAAGGGTGACATGTTGGCTGCCATTCTTCATCACCACTCGGTGCTTAATCCGTCCAAATCGATATCATTACCACGACACACGTGTGCCACCAGTTATCAGGGACTTCGGCTGTTGAACTTTTCATCAGCCGCAGAGAAGAGGAGCGTGGTCTCTGCTTTGTACTCCAATATAAAGATCCTATTTGTTTGTCATGTTATGATTTATTGAAAAGAATAAAACAGAGGGATTTAAAAATGATGCTAGCGCTCATTATAGTCTAATTCTACTTTAATATTTTGACTTTGTTTTATGTCTGAAATGAACAATTCCCAACTACACATAATCACCTGATGCTTTAAAAAAAAAATGTTTTGGCTCAGTTTCTTTGTCGTCAGTTTCTTAATATGTGGAGTGGCAGCCACACACACACGTTTTGACTTGTCGTGCCATTAACAAGCCCTATGATACACCGGAGACCCGTCTACGCTGTTGAATTCACATTGCTCAGCTAACGGCAATAATCCTGATCCAGTGGTACAACTGGCTATCAGTGTGTATTTCCTTTGTCATACGTTGTTTGCCTCAGCAGGTACAGAAGAGACGGGCAAAGCACAAATATTACAGATTATATCTCTAAGTGGTCTAGATAATGGATTGAAAATTGGATGCTTTCACTTAAAGTAAAAGTTATAAACGTAAACTTCTTCTGCTACTTAAGAAGTAGGTCCCGATACTTCCTCCACCACTTGTTATATTTAAAAACAGCATCTCAAGGTGTCAAGGTTGGAGTGCATCTTCAGCCGAGGCCACAGCATCTTTATTTCAGCTCAGACAACAGCCTACAGAGCACTGCCACGGCCAGACAACTCATACTGGGATCCTACAGGTGGTTGTTTTAATGAGAAAAGCAGAGGGTTTTGACTGCCAGGAAATATCTGGTCCCAAACTCACAGCATCTCAACCTGAATCTCACCCTGAGAAAGGGAAAACAGGAACGACACATTAAAAATAAAGTTTTGCTCATAGAAAAACACTGAACAATCACAGTGTTGTGTCCGCTGCCTCATGCAGCAAGGAGGAAACTGGGACCAAAAACAAACAACTACACAAGTTTATGACATCTGACCTTTTACCAGCCTCAGCACAACAAACACAGTCAACCGGCTTCTTCGTCAAATATTAGAATCTGTTCGAGCTGTTGTACCAGGACACTGCGCCACAGCTTATTAAAACATTGGCAGAGATACCGACACGGACAAGCTAACATTCAAAGTTTGTAATTTCCTTGAGTAGCCGTATTTTTTTTTCCTGAGCCTGCCTTTGTTTTTCGTTCCAGAGTTAATCAGAAGCGGCCCCCGAGGTCTGCGACACGACCGCGCTCAGGTCCATTTCAATAAGAAGAGACTAGATGAAAGAATATATAAGTAGAGAGGGGAAAGGAGATGCAAGAGGTGCGAACACAAACAAACACTCCCTCCGCTGATGGAACCCATCAAAAAGAAATTTCAATCTTTAATATATGCTTTCAAACAGAATACATTACGCCTTCTCTCCAGTAAGATCAGCTCCCACTAAAATAAGCACTAGTCTCCTGAATGACCCAGCAAACGGTAAATTGTAAAGTTCAGATAAATGCTGCATCATATAAATGTAATGACTACCAATTACAACACCAGTCCGACGACCCATTAAATGACGTCAGCACCGGGTCCCCAGTGAACATGCAGAATCATCTCATGTGTTCAGACTGACTGTCACGTCCGGACCGAAAAACCCATCACATTAACGTGTATATCTGTCACGTGTGGCAGTTACACAAGAGACAAGACGACAAAAATCTCCACAGACTTTCAAGACACAACCCACAGCAGCGTTTTTACCTTTTACATTTTAAATAATGAGGTTGTTTGTTGTGCCGCATCATTAAGCGTCTTTTCCTTCATGTTCTGTGGGCAGAACGTTCAATTACTGTCAGTCATTTTTTTTATTTTTATATCCCGGGTCTTAAATAAAAGACAGAAGCAGTGGGCAACAAAAGTCATAAAAAGTTAAGAAATTTAAACTTATGTAAATATTCACCAGCTATGACAGAGCTGTTTTCACCCTGTATATGTGTATTTGTGTGTGTATATTTGTGTATGTATATATATGTATATATATATATATATACATATATATATATATACACTCATTTTTGTGACCCCTTTAAGATCTTTTCCAGCATAAACACTGACCAGGTGAGGACCTGTGGACATCATGGGGACCAAAGCCTGGTTCTTATGACGCAAAACGTCATTTCTGAGGTAGGTGTGTGTGTGTGTGTGTGTGTGTGTGTGTGTGTGTGTGTGTGTGTGTGTGTGTGTGTTTTTGACAGTGTAGTCACAAAACGTCACAGGTTTGCAAAGCTGAGGTCAAAATGAAGGTCAGGTTTAAAGATGGAGTGTCGTCCTTGTGAAGTATGTGTGTTTGTTCCTGTACTTATACCTTTGTGAGGACCGTTATAAGCATAGATCCTACAGTGTTGGTTAAGGTTAGAGGGAAGATGTGAATTGTGGTATGGTTATAGTTACAGTACTGCTAAGGGTGTTCACAATGAATAGAAGTCAATGCAAAGTCCAAATATGGATAGCTGCGCAAACCTGTGTGTGTTTGCACGTCAGAGATGAGAAGTGACAAACTGAGTACTCATGAGTCGAAGCGTCAACATGTTGACAGGTTGTAGTGTGGCTCCATCACAAGCTGCTCTCTAATTTTAATTTAGCTTCAGTGAGGAGCTGCTACTTTTGATTAAAGCTAAAAGCACTTGGTCTCAGACCCCCTTAATGATGCATGCGAGGTTGTGCAAATTGGGGAAATCAATGAAGGTAAAAAACAGTCAAAGGCGTATCAGCTCTCAGCAGGTGAAGTGCACGCCGCCAAATTCTCAGCGCCTCATCAAAGCCGCTGCTCTTTGACAGAGAGCCGCTCTTATCTCCGTCTCTGATGACTCCACCTGTCAGGCTCCATTCAGATTGTTTATGATTAATGAGCTCCAGTCATACAACGCCGCACAGGAAGCTGACTCAATCAAACTGTGAAACTAAACCTAAATGGGGGGAATCAACAGCCATTACATTTTTAGCGGGTTTTACATATTCTACAAGTCAGACCTGGAAAGAAATTTAGTGGTACCTCTTTGGGGGGTGGGACTCTAAATTAATCCTCAATGGAACTATATTTTAACTCCAAAAAACTTGCTTCACTTGCTGGACTTGAACAGAAAAGGGCCAAGAGAGACTTTAAGTTAAAGGTATTTAAGGTAACTGCATTAACTTGGAATAATCTTAAATCTTAAACCTTCAGAAAGAGTAATTTATATCATCCAGCATCACATTTAAAAATGTTTTTTAAGACAGTGAGTTGTGAGTAAAGGGTGAAAAAGGTTTTCTACTGTGTTGTTGTTTTTTTTTTAAAGTTGTGTGTCCAAAAGTGCAGAACAGCTTCTCTGCTCCAATAATAATAATACCATAATCCAAAATGCTGTACTGATGCACAGGCTTTAGAAATGAAACAGACTGTGGAGTTATTTTCTTCAGCGCACCAGAGGTGGTTGATGTTTTGCAAAGTGCTGCAGTGGGTGTCGGTTGGTCTGAAGGTGTGGGCGTATTAAATATTCACAAAGTACTTCACATTTATCTTGAATACATTATTTTGATGAGCCACTTGTGTGTGCATAGCATCCAGGTGCTTCCAGTGGATTCCCACCTTTATCTTTGCGACATAATGTTGTCGACGAATGTTTTCTTATTCAAATGTTTTGTCATTTGTGAATCGATTCAGAATCGTAACTCATTTTCGACCCATTCCCTGGAACTGTTAAACTTAAACCATCATGTTGAAGAAAATGGACCAATAAGTAATCCAACCTTTAAACAAGTATAAATACAATACAATCTCGTCTATTCGTAAGAATGCAAAAGTTACAGCCTTGTGTTATCTTGCACAAATCTTACACACTTTCACAAAGAGACGAAAAAGAAGATTGTTATCACAACGGTTTTCACTATGTGTCGACACCTTGAGCCTGGGAATCTGAATCAACACTGAGGGAGAAAATTACATCTCTAAAAATAGGTCCAACAAGCATGAACGATCAGACAGGTTGAAAACAAGCCGATATTTCCGGTCTACCAGTCGTCTGGTTACACTAAAAACTAGAAGTGAGTGGAACCAAGTCTTTCATCATAGTTTAATATAGAGGAAAACCGTTGAGTGTTTATTTAAAATCTTCCTCATTGGGTCATCATGCTTGTTCTTCTGGACCTCTAGGCTACCTGTTTCTGTGATCCTACAAATCCCTATTTAGTAGCTGATTACAAAGTGATTACAACTGACATAAAACTATTTGGCCATGTAATGCAGTGGTAGAAAGTGCATTAGTTGCAGCATTCAGTAATTAAACCTGATAAAGAGGAAAAATAAGCCTTCAGCCCCACAGGGCACCACCACATTATTACATTTCTTCCTAACCGAGGAGAAATGATCAGTAAATCTTACACTTATACATGTGATTGCAATTTTATCTTTAACATACATTCATTCATATTTAGGTCTGGAAAGACTTTTCCTAATTAAACTTCTTTAAGTAATGAAGTCTAGAAAAGTAAACATTTATGCCCCTGTAGCTATTGACGGTCAAAGGAATTACAACAATGAGATAAATTGGAAGAATTGAGTCAATATAACAGGTTTTCATTAGGATTTCGAAATTTTTCTAATTACAGAAAAAAAGTAGCTTTGAATTCTTCATTCCAACAGCTGCGTGATTTCAAATGAGCCGGAAAATGTATGTACGATCGATGTATGTACGATTGAACAGACACATCAGCGCTTCTAACATGTCAATGAGCAGGGCAATAAACATCTGTTGTGGAACCCTGCAGGCCACAAACAAACACACACAGACTGTGCAGAGGTGGCACTTCATGTCAGATTTATCAGGAAAATTATTCAGGCTGCCAGAACCATGAGTTGCAACGTCCTGTGCTGGCATGCAATTACCATTTTTTTGCATACACGCACTTGGTCTGACTATAAAACATGTTTCACAACAAAAATAGAAACATGGGAGCAGACAGAAGACGACCTCGGGGCAGCAGGTTTCAGCTCGGTCTCGAACCGAACAGAGACTGCACCTTGTTCAGTAACCAAGCTCAGGGCTGATACATGGGAACATACCACATCAGTGACAAGCAGAACTACTTGTTTACTGTGTGTCTGAAGCACGACTGTTGGATAGGTTACACATTCACTACATGTGGAAAGATTTCATACCAAAAATAGCCTGATAGAAATCATAGAACAAAGCTGTCACATGTTCCATCAAGACATGAAGTGAACTCCACAGTAAGTGAGTGTGTATTTCACTATTGGCCAATTGTCTGATGATGTGTGTTAACTTATAAACTCTCTATTCACACAGACGTTATGAAACAAGGATCCCTCAAACATGATCTCATTATTACAGTGAGAGCAGCTGAATAAATCCAACTGGTTCTGACAGTTCAGAAAGACAAAATGGAAAAATGATGAACGTGAGATGAAGAGAGCTCGAGTTTGATTAGTTAATTAATAGTTTATGAGAATGAAATGGAAATTTATCAGCAGCTACTTTGAAAATCAATCACAAATGTAAAAATTTGTAATTTCTACATAACGTGCAATTTCAATTCATCTCAAGCACTTTTCATTATCTATTTCCTGACATTTGAAAGACACTGATTCATCAGTTAATCAAGAAATATTTGATTCAAAGTCTTGGTAGAGTAATCCACGAAGAAGTCTTTTTTTTGGTGTCTCTTGCAAACTCTTCCTAACTAGAACATCAATTAATATTTTCTTTTATTTTTGATGACTGACAATCATGTTTTCTATGAATTAGTTTAATTTCCTCATTGTAACAATACAGTTTAAAATAATCTAAATTTCCCAGAGCAAAGAGGTGACATCTGTTTAGTCTAAAACCAGTGAAATCACAGATATTAAATCTATAAAGACATAAACATAGATTGTCAACATGAAAGGTGGCTCTTTGACACTGCTTCAAAAATCGGTTAATTAATCAGTTATCAAAGTAGTTGCGATCAGTTAATGATATAACTGAGCAAACTTGTGTAAATTTACATGTTGAGTATAGGAAAGAGAAAAAAAACAACAGAGTGGGAATCAGGACTTTTTTAGCAGAGCTGATTGGAATTAATTAATAAGACATGCAGGTATTTCAGTTCTAAATACAAATAAAGAGCAGCAGGTCGGTGACATGAAACTGTTGCTGCAATGATTCTGACTTAATTAAAATTATTTATTAAAACACAGCAGGGGTTTCTCTAAAACAAGACAGATAAAGACCTGGGACAGAACATTCACACAAACAACTAATCTAACTGCTACATTTTGCATCTTTGTGTCACAACAGATGAATAAAAAACTATTTTGCCAAAAGTTTAGTGTTTACTTTGCTTCAAGCCTCCAACAAAACTAAAATCTTATGCCATGCAAAAAAGGAAGCTGGGTTTGGTTTCTTGGCTACTAGATGAATTCAACAAAACAACACATTTAATTTCTCACCTTCATCTTTGCAAAGGGGCTGTCATAGCTGCCGACGTAGAGCAAGCCGACAGTCTGCGGGATCAGCCTACAGAGATAAAAAGATCACGGTTAACACCCTCAGCACAGGATCTCAACAGGAAAGTATCTGAGTGGTAACAGTGGTGCAGAGAAAAATCAGGACGTCGCTTCCATTTTGCAGCTAGTAACAGAACGGCAGAGATGTGAGATTACACCTATCTGAGCCCTTCTGTCTCCATGTGAAGCTTCATGTTTCTAAACTCAATAAAACGACAGTATGAGCCCATTCAGACACCAAGGCAATAATATTAGAGACTCATGGTATTATAGTGTCTGTCTGAGAGCTGACTGTGAGCCCTCACCGTAGTTCATTGGGGTTTATGTTTACACTTCTGCAGTTCTCTTGTCTCATCCAAGAGCTCACGCCCGACAGATGTCTTAATCACACACTGCTCCCTGCCTCCCTCCACCACCAACATCTCCACTTGCCTGCAGAAGTGAATATTAATGAGTATACAGGCACTGCTTTCATATTAGCAAAACCATTTTTAGAAACGTAATGAGGGACTACTCAGCTAAATCGTCCACCAAACTACCACACGACTTCTTAGTGTGTTGCCACCTCATTCAGAGATTTCAATTGGAGCTGAAATTGGACACTGTCTTCTCCATCTTCCCCAGCCCTCCCCCCGTGTAATGATAGCTAACACAAGCAGGAAGGAAGCAGCAGTAGACATTAAGAGAGCAAAATAGCCATGTAGTGATGGACGCCCAGCAGACCTTTCAATGCCAAGTCTATTCCCATTGTTGTTTCTATTAGAGTACAAATTGTGTGATAAAGACTTCTTCCCTAAAACTGCAGGACTCAAAGCTAGAGCAGTGTGCCGATGACACAGTTTTCTAAAAACAACGCTAATATGTCAGCAAGGCTTTTGCCAGAGGCGGTGGAACAGATGAGGAAACAAGATGAGAATATATATCAGAGTGCTTCAGAGGAACAGACTTCCCTGTTGTCGTTCTCAAGCTGTTTCACTATGCGTAGTTGATATTGCACTCATAATGTCGAGGTGAGGTAGTCCTGCTGTCTTAAATTGCTTTGCAATTTTCCACAGAGTGAGATTCAGATGAGTTATGTTAAAATGAGAGACCTTTCCAGCACAAAACAGTGATAAAAATAGAATCTGACACGAGAGAGTTTTTTTTAAATGAAAACAATCAAGAAGCTTTCAAATGTCACCACATTTAATAAGACCATAATACAAGTATGTTGGTACCTCTCAGTTTCTGCCTCAGTGGCTCAGATACCCTTTCATTAAACCCAGTCCTGTTCAAAGGATCACATTGTGGAGCAAAATGGAACAAGACTTCATCATTTTAAAAAGATTTTAAAGAATTTGAGTTTTGTTTCACTCGTCTGTTTTTTTAATTTAGTTGTATGGTTGTTTTTTTGTTCGTCAGCAGGAATTTGCAAAAACTAATGAATGGATTTCTACAAAACTTGGTGGAAGGAGTGGGACACGGACCAAGAAAGAACTAATTACATTTTGGCACAATTCCGGGTGCATAGGTAAACTTATTGTGGGATGGACCAATGCATTCCTGGTTTGGGGATTTTGGAGTTTTTCAAAGAATTATAATTACACTGTGACTATTTCTCAATAATTCACTTGCACAGTGGAAAATTAGACATTAAAGACCATAAAATATCTTTATTGGATTAAGGCAATTCGACACACTAGGGACATCTGAGACGCCAACTCCAGCAATCTTTGTGTTCATACAACGAAATCTATTCATGATGGGTTCAGAGCCGAATAACTCTGTATTTGTGTTGCAGAATCCTCCCTGTTTGTGCTGACGACTGAAACGCTGCGAGAGCTAAGCTCTCTGGACATCTCAGATCCACTTGCTGTGAACTACACCACAAGTGTAGTGAATGTCTGTCTCACACAAATCCTTCTCTGCAGCTTATTAAAATGGTCTGTGACAATTGTTTGGATCTTAAAACTGAAGCCGTAGAAATAAAACTCATAAAATAAAAAAGAATCAAATTCCCAGACATGATACAGGGTTTTCATAATATTGTTGAAATGGACGCTCTGTTGTAAAATAGATTACCTCCAGTGGCAAAATTCTCAAACACGGAAAAGTAAAATAGGGAAAATGAGAAAAAGAAAGAAAAACACCAAAGAAATAGATTAGCATTGAAGACTGATAAAATGGAAAACACACCAAAACAGCCATTTGGGGTCCAAAGCTGGTAAAATCTTATTTGATTATTTCTTAGACTAAATGAAAAGGTGAGCAGTTAAACTGACCTCAGCAATTTTAAGGCGATCGTGAATTTGATGTTGATCACTCACACACTCAGAAAAAAACTGAGAAATTGTATGTGAACTACCAGAGCAAACACTAGGGTAAAATGTCCTCATGAGTTGCTTGCTACATTATTTGTAATATCATGTGATGAAGAGAGTTTCAGCTGAAATACTGGTGGTATAGACTTTATATAAAAATGAACAATGCATCTCACTTAAGCCCATTTTACAAAAATGAAGCCAGTGCCCAACTAGTGATGTGACAGTATCAACATCCTCCTGATCCAACATGCTCAACCAATCACAAGTCAGTCTTAGCTGTCGTCATGACGTTATTATTTATTGTGTGGGCTGACGAATGAACAGTTGTTACCTCCTTACATGTCTGTCCATCTCTCTCTCTCCCTCCCTCTTCAGAAATCATATTTAAGATAAAACATTTAAATACCTACTGTAACTTTTTTGTTTGGTCTATGTCCCATCCACCAACATGAAGAAGGCAGGCTTTATGACCTATACTGCAGCCACCAGGGGGTGATCAAGACTATTTTAACTCACTTTTGGGGAGCAATCATGTCGTCCATTTTATATAGAGTCTAGGCTAGCAAGAAAGAAAGCTATTACAAGGAAGTGGGGAAGGTAGAACCGCCAATAAAGTGGCCAATAAAGTGGCCAATAAATCTTCTTACGGGACAGACAGACATATCTAGAGTCTACAAGAAGCACAGCCTATGGAAAAATTGAAAACTGACTTTATAGAAGAGGCAACAACAGAAGAGGGGTGGAAAATACTCCATCAAAAGGAATGTACGAATGAATGAATTTCCACAAGCCTCAAAAGCTTCTTTCTTTGGTATTTTTTCTTTATGTCCCTTTGGTACTTCAAGAAGGTGAGTACCTGATTGAGACTGTGGATCTTTTATACAAAATACAGACTAGGATGCTGTAATGACACATGAGTCCACAGTGTAACAAGAATCGTGGATGCAGGCCTCTGGAGAGCCGATCCAAGCCAGTCAGACTGTAACACTCCTCCTTTCTGGGTCTTCAATGTCACTACGCACCTAATGAACAATGATGTAACCATTACTCATTGCCACTTGAGACAGAATGCTGGCTCCAATTATCCATAATTCAAGCCATCTATACAATACTCAAGACTGTTCATCTCCACACTTGGGAGGGGCGCTATCACGCTTTATGGAATTGCTTCAACTTTCCATTTTGTCCTTTTCCTCCTCTCCACTCGCACTGCCTCACAATAATCACTGTCTGCCTCCGTGCTTGTTCTCAGAGAAGGTAATAAGAGTTGCAAGGGTGTATGCTTCAGCGGTACACAAAGACGTGCTCAAGGATTTATTGTGTGGGCTGACGAATAAACAGTCGTTACCTCCTTACATGTCTGCCCATCTCTCTCTCTCCCTCTCAGACAGTAACTAAAGGAAAGATTTGAAAACCTACACCGTGTGAGCTCTGAGAAGTATTCCACCTCCTCAAATGAATCTTTCGGGGGAAAATATCAGAACGCTCTGAAAGGGTAACAATAATGGTCTGTGTTCTCCCACACAGAGACGAGTCAAGAAGCTGACTAACTGGCCTGCTGGCCGGCTTTGGAGTACGATGAGTGACTATGGCCTGTTTTGATCAGCTCAGTCTGTTGTTGGGGAGTGGTGGCAGGCTCGCTGCTACAAAGCTTGGACAGTCACAGAGGTCACCTGGCTCTCAGAGGAAAAGACAGCTTGACCAGTGAGCTGACAGCTGTGGATCTGTGTACTCACACTCAAAATAATACCGACCGAGCTGCAGTAAAGTACACCGAGAGATGTGTATCGTGCTGATGGAAAATAACACTGAGGCTATAACCAAGCTAGCAGCTATCTCAGTTAACTCCTAACATCAGCTAAAATGCTTGGTTGGAATGAAACCACAGTAAATTATAAATGGGCACTTACACAGCGCTTTACAACTTTAGCAAAGTGCTTCATCACCTAATTCCCTCCATAGTTGTTTGGACACATTGGGAAAAAGAAAAGCCTCCCCATGGCTTAGGGTCTATAAAGATTGACAACATGACAGCTTCCTAAAAGTGAAGAATCTGGATCGCCACCTGGTGACTGGCTGCAGTCATAAATCCTGACTCCTGATGGGACATGGAACAAACTAAAATAAGACTCAATGTACACGTAAACGTAATTTTTCTCAAAGATTTCTCTGTCAAGTTTCCAGATACGTTTGGTTTTAATCACTTATTTGATGCTATCATAAAACATCATGATTGACAGCTGAGACTGACTCGTGACTGGTTAAGCATGTGCATAGACAGGACCTCGCAACTGTGGCTTCAGAATCTGGCTCCACATGCACATGTTTATATTCCATATATTTTAGCTTCATTTCTGGACAGTGGGAGATGCATCATCCATCTTTATATATAGCTGATGGTCTTGCCCGAGAACATTGGACAGGAGGCACTAGTCGTTAGTGGATGATATGCTCTACCTCCTCAACCACAGCTTCCTTGACATCATACTAAAAAAAAAACCCACCAACCTGCTGAGGGTGCTTCAACCTTTGGAGAACATGAATGTCTGTGAAAAATGTTATGATATTCTAAGGTTGTTGAAATCTTTCAGTCTGGACCAATGTCATCACCTGAACAAATTGCCAGTGACTTCAGATGACAATAGCTGAATTGCTAAATGGACAATCTTCCAACTGGTTTACTATTACATATCAGAAATACATCAGAGGCTTCAAATTACCTACAGGAAATCAATTGTGTTTTTCTAGTATAGAACTGTTTTTCTGCAGAGATGTGCTGTTTACCAGGATGAGGGCTAGGAGAAGCACTGGTGCATCTGAATAATTTATACTTCAAAGAATAATAAACATAAAATGATGGAAAAAGAGAAGGGCAGTAATGTTTTCCCTTGCACATAAAGCTGCATGCATCAAGCGACTTTATGGGATTGCAGATATATAAAGCGAATGGAGGCAATGATGGTGAAGGAAATTCACTTCTGCAGACTGTAAGAGAAACTGAACCCAAAGGCCAAAAAAGAAACACAAGATTCAGTATTTTTCTTTGAAAAGAACGGTTTTGACACCTGCACACATAGAAAATGTTCATGAGTGTCAGTGTGCGTGAAATCCAGTGTCTCACAATATTACAGATGCTATTACATTCATCAAGCAAAGTGTTTCCCTAGCAACTGTGACTTACCCTTCTCCTCCGACTTTAGCGATCTTCAGGCGAAAGTCTACAGAGTTGAGATTGGGGGGCTTCCACTTGAGAATTTCATCACACCTCCCAGCCTTGTATCTCTGCAGGGAAACACGATCCACCCCCCCCAAACAAAAAACAAATTACAAGACAGAAGAAGATGATTTGTTGGGTAAATAAATAGGAAATCTCCTTTCACGGAACACAGGTAACAAATGTGTTTCCACGAGAAGTCCTTTATATTTGTTAACCTTTAACCCCCGCAGACTTAAAGTGATTTGTGAGCCAAGCAGAATTAACAGAACAGCATTAGATCTCATTCTAATTCGCCTCCATTGTGATCGTAGGTTAAAATTGTGTGTCTTGGTATCAACGTTAGTCAGAGTACTTGTGAATAAGAATACATTTGGATAAGAATAGATATGTAAATATAATGAGGCTTACAAATTATGATTTAATATGATTGCAATTTTCACACATCACCATAGCGGTTCGCTGTGCAGTAACGTCTCTTTGATTATTTATGCCTGCCTGACATTTAGTACGACATGAAACAAGTGCACTAGAACATGAGAAATGTAAAGGCATGACGGGTGGAGGCGGGAACAGATGACCAGATTCTGTCACTGTCAGGTTGCCCGGTAACAGAAGTCTACTCCGACGAACTGTGTGGAAAATGGACAGGATTCCTCGGGAGGTCCTGCGCTGTCACAACAACATGACCAAATGAGGAGTTCCTGGCTCCACCCACGTATAGTCCTCTGACAGGATACAAAAAAAGCCTTTAAATCACCATGCAAAGAAACATACAGTGCAGGGACTTGTCAAAAAGAAACCCACTCCTTCTCAAACACAAAGCCCAAAGCCTGAGTTTGCTGCTGAGCAATGCTGAATAGCATGGAAATCTTGCAGGCTGATAAAAAAGTTTTCCAAAAGGCTTTTTCTATGAAGGCCAAAGTCCCTAAAAATTACACTTAAACTCTTTATATTATACAATGCCATACATCTCATGTTGTATGCCATTGGTCAAAGTTCAGTTCAACCAAAACCTATGGCCCCTGTAGGAAGCCATAGGTTTATATATGAATTGTGATGATATAAACTTGGAGTGCGTTAGCAGAATTAAATTCTAAGTGGGATGAGGCCAAATCCAAATCTGGAGCAAATAAGTGCAAGCCGCTTATAACCTTTTTCTCCTCAGACTGGCTCTGAGAGTAATTACACAAACACAGCTGATGCATGCTCATGACATGTACCTCATTTGTCATTGCTGTCATTTGAAATTTTAGACTGTAATCCTTCGTCTGTGTTTTTCCACCATGCTCCACATTGCCGAAGAATACTCGTCTCCGTATCTACGGTCGGTCCAGTTTTCTGCTCCGGCAGACCAGTCATTGGTGGATGCATCTCTACTGATGGGCCAGTGCAGAATTGTCGTCAGTGAAACTAAAACGACATTTAACCGGCAGTGATTGGCTTAAATAAGTCTCGCTTTAGGGCTGCTAACTCAAAAATGTTGCTCAAGTTTGTTTTCTAAGCTTTTTCTTTTTTACAGTTCATATGCTCTGCCACTGTTTCTATGACTTAATGATGCCCTCGACGTTACATCATGGAATTCCTGTCCTGATGGTAAAGTTGACAATTTCTAACTTAGCAAGCTGGTTGAGTTATAGGTAGTTTGACTTGTTTTAGGTTTAAAGAGAAGGGAACATGAGTGTGGAGTGTCCTTCTGCATTGTCTATTGTGCCGCTTTCAGCGTGGGAGGCGTCCTTCATTTCTCTTTTAAAGGCTATTCACCACAGTTAACTAGAGAGCCGCGAAAGAGGGCACGTCTCTTTTGAAGAACATTGACTCAGATGATTTTTTTCTTAATCTGAAAACGTGGGTGTGGAAGGAAACATTCTTCAGTGCAGTTAGTTATGCTATACTGCACAGGCATTAAAATAAACATTTGGGAAATAACTTGCCCACTTATATAGCTATAATGTGAAATGAAACATAGGAAATCTACAAATGCATTAGGTGAGGAAATATTCCTCTTCCCACCGTTGATTGACTACTTGATGAAGGATTTGAACTAAAGAGAGAAATACCAACTTCTGAAGAGCTAAGATGCAAAATGACGAAGGTCTGCATGGAAAACAACAGCATATGACCTGTGAATAAAGAATCATCCCTGGAGAATCCATGAGGCTCTGTACAAAACTCTGAATGCTAAAATTTGTGTGCTACATTTTCAACCAAAGTTAATTTCACTTTGAATGAATCAAAGCCAGTAGAGCCATAGGAGCAACAACCTTGCGAAAACCCAATCGGACTGCAGATTAAATAAATAGGCAACCTTCATATCAATGTGGAAAGAGTGCTGCCAGTCGTATTCGCGCTTTCATTACTGTTGATAGACTTGTCAATAAGTGACTGCACATATAAACAAGAGCTTTTTATTGAAGTGTCGAGCAGACCTTCAAAACCTGACCTTGAGTTCAGGAACACATCTCTAATCCATCCAAACTCATTTTCATGTAATGATGTTCTATTGCATATAAATTGCTCTTGCTGCGGTTTTGGGATGTGAATTCAGAGGCTGTGATTGAGGGGATGAAGAACTGAGAGGGACACACACTGTGAAAGCACATGGTTCTGGCGGCATGGCTTCCTGAATATAAAAAAAAATATCACAAAGAGTAATTGTAAATATCATATAACTATCATTTACATTAAGTCTTTAGTAACGTCTTTCTGGAAATTGCAGATTCAAAAAGCTCATAACCATTTTTTGTGCTTAAAATAACATTTATGAACTAGAGAAAGAGTCTCTTTTCATTTACAGCACATCGACACCGGTGTCTGCCCTTATCATCACAAGCTCTAAGCTGACATCTTGGATCGCGTCTTTTTTTGTGTATGAAACCTCTTTTTCATCCTGAGATTTCTGTATTGTATTTGTTCTTTTTTCCCACACTTTGCATCTGACATGTTTTAGAAACGTTATTGAAACACCCACTCACTCACTGTGAATTTTCTGGAAACATGTCTAGGAAGTAACCAATCACCGCTGACATGAATTCTATGTTCTGTTCATATTTGAAGTAGATAAAAAAAAAAGACAGATAGAAGGCAGTCAGGCCCCTCTTTCACACAATAGAGCACAGACATGATATGTCTTTAAATGGCGGAAATCAGATCCAATCTTCTAAATTACCTAAAAATGATAGAAGAACCTGGATTGCTTTTATTAAATATAATGGGTAATCTATATCCCTGACTGCAGCTTGTCAATATCCAATTGTGTACACAACTTGCACACCCTCCCTGTACTGTTCAGTTGCTGTTGTTGTTTCTCCCCATTTTTCCCTTCCCTCCTTCTTTGTGGAAATATATCTCTGCGCCTACAGATCTGTGACAGAAACACTCCATTAGCATCTGACTATACACTGCGACAGGCTCATCTTGCCACTGAACTATTCAGAGACAATATTCAGAACAACTGTCTTGTTGTCTTGTACTTGTCTCTGCTGTTATTTTTCGAGCGTTTGTTTTGCTCTTATTATTGCTATCAGGAGAAAAGGGATGATCATCTATAATTCTGCACATATTCTAACTATAGAAGTGGAGAACATGACAAATTATGCCAGATCCATGCATGGTAAATAGACGCTAAATAAATGTAGAAAGTGTTATTCTACTGAGGAAAAAGAATCTTGCTTGGGGATGTGCTTCAAGATGAATCCTTTGATTACAGTTTTTTTCAAAGCCTCATTTCAATAACAGCTTTTTGCTTCCAGGCAGACTTATTGTTTAAGTGTGCAGCGGATTACAGACAAAAGGCTGGAAAAGTCCAATAAATCTGTTCCCCGGAGAAAAAGCTCCCTCTGTTACAGCTCAGACACACTGGCCCATTTGTTTGAGAGTCACATTGTGTGTGTGTGTGTGTGTGTGTGTGTGTGTGTGTGTGTGTGTGTGTGTGTGTGTGTGTTCGTTCTTTTGGTGTAAATGTACAAAATGGTGCAGCAATATTAACAATCTGTCTCAGAATAAATTGTGGTTGAGGAATACAGGGACAGGGTAAAGTTTAGATATTGAGGTGGATGGTGCAGAGATGTGACATACAGATACTCTGAAGAATAGCAAGTCCCACATAAAATGATTAAATGGATTCAAGAAACTACAGAACACACATTGATCAATGTTGTGACCTAAACACAAGTCTGCTTCACAATATAAATGAACTTCTCTGGGCTCAGAATTGATACAAATCTCATCTTCTGCACTGACTTAGCTTTTTGAGTGGAGTTAAAATGATTTGCCATAAAACAACAGTGAGAAGAGAAATGCTTCTCGATACTCTTTGTACAGAGATCACCACCTGGAGCGCTCTCCCATAAGCAATCCTGCCATCTGTGACAATGGCTCAGTTATAAATTCAGTGTTTCCAATGCTCCCTTAACAAAGAAAACATATTCCAAGGACACCGTGTGTTGGTTGAGATAACACGCCCAGCAACTCGGCTGCAGAGGCAAACCTTTGTGCTAACATCAACTGACTTCAAGACCCTGCTGAGATTAACCTCAAGACCACCCTAATCCCATCCACATAAAAAGAGATTAACATCACACTAGTTGATGTAGTGGTTGACTTTGGAGAATAATCTGTATGTGAGGCAGACACACATTAATATACACCTGCAGTGTTGGTGAAAAAAACTATTTAGATTCATCCTACTGCTGTGTGCTGTAAACTGCTGTGAATAGACCTTTAATGTATGAGTAATTAGTTTGTAAAATGAAATCTTTTTAAATATTTAGTCTGAGATCAGAAGTCTCATGAAGTGAAACCCTTTGCTCTCTGTTATTGATTAGATGGGATTTCACTGCAATGATGTCTTTTTCTATCTCCAGGTATTGATTCAACCTGGGGAACGGATTATAGATCAGATAAGAGTGTCGCTTTTTGTCACAGGATGTGTCACTTGTTCTTTTTTGCTCTCAAAATGAAACCATTTAAATGCAACGTCACATATCTACTTCAAATGCTTTCTGTTCTCAGAGAATTCAATTGACAAAGTAAAACTGACAACAAAATCAAAAGTCTACACCTATTCTAGCAGCTCCATGAAGATTTCAACATGAACCTCATATAAAAATGGCTCCTAAG